TCCTGTTTCTGGCTGTACACAGTCACTCTTCCCGTGGAGAGCCTGAACGCCACAAGGAAGTGGGCTCCCAGGCACTGGGCCTGAGATTCCCAGCAGTAAGCAATCATGGGGGATGTATGACCACTTGACTTGCTGGATTGTTGCTTGGTGACTCCATAACTATGATGAAAAGACTGCTGCCCAGATTCTGGCTCAAGCAGGACTCTGGGGGATGAAGGGAAGAGCTTTCTGGAGATTGATATCACTTTAGGTGGCTAAAGACCTGTTTTGGAGATAAGGAGGAATATATCCCCTGAGAGCAAAACCAGGATCCATAAGTGAGTGTTGCATGGAGACAGATTTAGGTTACAATGAGGGAGAGTTTCTGTGCCTGATGCTGGGTGATGCAGAGACAAGCTGGACCAATGTTGTGTCTGCACCTCTTATTTCACCTGCCTTCTCTACATACTGAGCTTGGTCCCCATTCTCAATGTCATTGCCCTTGGTTCTCCTTGTGGGCTCCAAATGGATGATAATTCTGACCCTAAGTTTTCCTCCCATCTACCTCTGCTGCTCCAACTCTTTTAAACCTAATGGAGATTCTCTGCTCTTACAAAGGACCCCGTTTAGAAGTGCATGATAACCAGGCTAACACTGGGTAGAGAATACTAGTAACCACCCCGGATCCCAGCAGTGAGACAGTCTGCCATGGGAGAGTGTGAACTTCCCATCAGAGGCAGCATTCAAAGTGAGGCTGCGTGGGCACCAAACAGGCCTCCTAGGCCCAACTCCTATCACTGGATGTCTGCCGTTGGGGCTGTGCCAGAGGAAGCCACCCACTGTTGTAGACAAGAAAACCTCTGAGAGTCCATACGACAATATGATCATCATGTTTGGAAGTGGGATTTTCCACTGGATGAAGAACAACAAAAGAATATGTCCACCCTTCCAGAAGCCAGTCAGCCCAGAGAAATGGACAAGTAAGACTTCCTGCATTGATATGATGATTCATAATCATAACATGCGTAACAGCAGCAGCAACAAATAATGATGATTGGTTTCATTATAAGCATCTAAAGAGCATTTTGAGCTTTCCAAAGCACTTTGATGTACATTATCACATTTGCTCCCCAGGCCTGTATCTCAGGAAGGATGGTGAATGATTAAATGGAGCAAAAGGAACAAAATGATGAATGAAAAAAGCAAGTGAATGGGGCATCTCAAGAGAACAGCATGAAGAAAGAGAATTAAATTGCTTTCATTGGTGCTAAGAAGTCCCTTTGATTCTAAAATCCAGGTGCAATCAGGTGCCTCTCACGGCAGAGGGAGAGGTAATCTGCTGGTCTCCCCTGAGCTCCAGGTTTACATACAGCATCACCAGTTGTACATCTTCACCTCACACACAAGGTATGCGGACCTAAACCCACTGCCTTTCCCCAGCCCATCTTTTGTGTTTTCCACCTCAGAAAATGGCTCTACCAAACTGATGATATCTACGCTTAAGGGGTGGACCTTGCCAGTGCCCTGATGGTTTACTTGCTCGGTGCCCTGTCATGTGGATGTGTTCCATCATGACTGACATACTAGGAAACAATCTGAGCATAACACGAATTTCACATTTGTATGCACACACATGAGTGAAGCGGAAAACTGTACCCATCTGAACTGAGCCACATAGGAATACATGTAATACATCCCCACCTGCCCTTGCTGACTGGGCCCTCTGGTATCTTACTGAGCTATACCTGAACTTGTACATTTTTGCTATGAGCCTCTGCCTACTTTTAGCATGTCCTTCCTAGGCCAGCCTCTGCCCTCAGTGCCTAGTACAGAGTCTGGCACATGGAAGTGACTCAGTAGATGTCTGGTGAAAAGGACTACTGCGACAGGGCATGGCAGCCATTCATTCTCAGCTGGTCTCCATAGTGACCAGTCTCCCTATCACCCAATCCCACAAGCAAGCGGACACTTGCAGAGGAAGCTCCATCAGTCCACATACTGGGGGGTTCCTCAGGTCAAGAGATTTAGCTCTAAGCTCTGAATTGATTTGTAACCTTGGTTTGATCACTCTGAGCCTAAGTTTTCCTCCTATCTACCTCTCACCGATGCCTCAAGGATCAAGCATTAAAATGGGCATTCTGAAAGTGGTGTGTTGGTATGTCACAGTCTATGAGTATTTCTTAAATGTGGGTGTGTATCAGCATCACCCAGAGGGCTCCTTAAAGCATAGATCTCTGGGCCCCAATCTAAGAATTTCTGAATCATTAGGTTAGGGGGGTGGGGCCTGAGAATTTGCCTTTCTAACACATTCCCAGGGGTGCCAATGCAGGGGGCCTGGGGACCACACTTTGAAAACCACTGCTCCAGATCATTCTAAGAGCATTGCTCTTTCCACACCAGCCTTGTTTTCCTCCATGAAGTTTGGTATTTCAATACTTGACTTTATGTTTATGTTTTACCCTTTATGCTGTTTTGTTGGAATCTAAACCCAGCCTGTAAATTCCTCTGGGCAGAAATTATACCTTCCACCCTCCACACTCTCTCGTTTTCTATTTTGAAAAAAAAAAGAGTATGTTTTCAGTGCTATTAATAATGAATAGGGAAAGGGTAGGAGGACTCAGACTACTAACCCATAAATGAATATCAACCTTGGAATTCTCTTAAAAATTAATTACGAGGCAAAGAACATTCTACCATCAGTGGAACTGTGGGAAAGATTATCTTCTTAATGACACATTTTGGAAAATGTGGGTTATTGAAGATTTTAGTCATAACTTACTTAAGCAACATTTTTTTAAATATAAAGCTATAAACAGCATTTCAACTCATAATTTTTATAGTGATAGTCAGACAATTGTGTTTTTAACATGCAAAATCCATTGCACGGTCATGGCAACAATTTTCAATAGATCGTAAATTTTTATTGAGATGATCATCTTGCGATTGAATTTCAAACTGTATTATATGATCATCAGCAATAAGTCCATGGGGGCTCCTAACAGTACTTTGAATATCATTTATAAAGATCGAAAACCTTGGAAACCCTGAGATTTACCCTGTGGAAAGAGGCAAGTCTCATCGGCAGGATAGAATCAATTATTTTTATGGATGGATATTGAATTGCAAAGCTGAGATAAGGCATTACCTGATTTAATAACATATCCCATGTCCTTTCAAAGTAGTAAGTTTCATAATCAGGTTTCAATGAGGAATTTTACCAAAGGCCCAGTTTTGAAAATAATCAAGAAAACGGCACTTCCATTCATCACAGTGGTTCAATAACGTTCAAAGGAATATTCCCAAGCAATGGCAATATTAACTTTGGGTTACATAGAGCCAAGATACACGACTGAGATACTTTAGAATGGTTCTAGTCAACTCCTCTGGAACTCTTATCTTGGCAATGTGGATGTGTTCCATCATGACTGACATATTAGGAAACAATTTGAGCATAACGCAAATTTCACATTTGTATGCACACACATGAGTGAAGCGGAAAACTGTACCCAACTGAACTGAGCCACATAGGAATCCACACAGAGCACCCACCTGCAGCATCTCCCCGCTCCCTCAGGTCGCCGCTGGTGTGATGAGCCACATCCAGCCACACCTGGTGTATCACGCTCCAGCACTTTCAGACGCCCTCCTCACCATTTCACATCGCCTTTCAGGCTGCAACCTTTCTGACGCCCACTTCCACAAGCAAATGTCAGGACTTTCCAAGCTAACACCCCACATGTGCTGCAGTTTTTATGCATACCCTGGCCATTAACGTGTGTAAAATTGTGCCACCAGTTTTACTAGGTTTCTCTCTTTTTTTTTGAGGTGACACTGATGACAAGTACGTGTGTCATGCCTCACAAGCCCATTTATTTTTATTGCATGGCTTTGCATAGTGCAATGATTTCTAAGAACACGCATGTCACACTGTAGCAGAATGGACTGTTTCACTTGGCTTTTTGTTCCATGGTAGGCACTGTGCTGGCATGTCTTTCTCTCCCCACCCTGAAGCCAACAGTGACGCCTTTTCCCTTGGAAGCCAGCAGCCCGTGCCATGGCTTCCCTGACCCCCCCCCGGAAACACCCCCAACTGTTTGTACCTCACAGGTGGCACACACCTCTCTGCTTATTCACCATGCTGCAACCAATAACCAAGGGCATTGGAGTCAGGTGCAAATCCTGGCTGCCACTGGCCAATTCTATAACTTGGAACACAAAGTTTAAAAATACTGAGTCTCCATTCATTCTCATATATATGAGATAAAAATACTTATATTGAATAGTTAGAGGGGGAAATGAGATAATAGAAATAATGTGATTTGCCAAAAAAAAATTAAACACTGAGTTCTTTTAATTTCTTGAGTTGCATTCAGAGCTGTGACATCTCGGGGATATAGTTAGAGACAGAATCTCGGCCAACACCCCTTATTAGAAACAGCAGAGCGGCCCGGAGCCCTCCGGGACACAGCTGGATCCAAACGGTCCTCCCCCAAGACACAGTCCCAGCCACCACACTGGTAAGCAGCATGCAGGAACCTCAGAGAAACAGGTGGAGCCAAGGACCCCCGGGAACATGGAGCCAGGGACCCCCAGATGAATGGTCAAAATCAAGAACTCATTAGGGTCAGAGGCCCAGCCCAGGGATCCTCAGGGACACAGCTTCCATCAGAAACACAACAGGAACTGGAAGCACTCAGAGATAAAGTCCAAATGAGACCTTCAGGGGTCACGGTCAGAGCCCGGAGCCCTCAGAGACACGACGACAGGAGGCCTCGGACAGTGATGCTCAAACTAGCCTCCCATTGGCAACACTGTCAGAACCGGACACAGCCAGAGCCTGTCAGAGCCAGGAGGTCTGCACAGATGTCACCAAAGCCAGGAGGTCCTCTGAGGCTACACCAACACCCTGACTGTTTTTCTCCCCAACAGGACGCAGGCTCACACCGAGAAGTTTAGGCGTGATTGTCACAGAGGAAGATCTGCCCAGCCTCCCAAAATGAAGCCAGGACGGAGGCTCTTACCTGCACACTTGGTCCTGGTGGTGAGCGGAGGCCCCGGGGGCCCTGTGCCCCCCTCTCCTGGTCTTGTGAGTAGAACCCGGATCTCATACTCCACATCCGGGTCCAGGTGCCACAGCTTATAGTTGGGTGAGTCCACGATGTGGGTCTCGGCCCAGGTGCCCGTGGTGGTGCGGTACTCCACCTCCTTCAGGATGATGGGGCCGTCCCCGATGATGGAGTTGGCGTTCGGCTTGATCCATAGGTACGTGGCCCCCACAGCCAGCAGCTCTGGGGGGGCAATAGGTGTGGGAGGCTCTGAAAGACAAATGGTCAGAAAAGGACATAAGACTCTCATGGTTACAGAACAAAACCCAAGCACACGAGGGACAGGATTCCAGACAGAGCCATAAAACAGCCCAAATCCTTCTTTAACCCCATTGAATAGTTAGAGGGGGGAATGAGATAATAGAAATAATGTGATTTGCAAAAAAAGGAAAAGTAAACACTGAGTTCTTTTCATTTCTTGAGTTGCATTCAGAGCTGGGACACCTCAGGGATATAGAGACAGAATCTCGGTCTTACTATGATTTTCACTTTTTTGTATGTAAGTACCTGAATCAGTATTTCTTCACTAACTACATGTCATACCTCCCCTAGCTCTTTCATTTAAGAAAGAAAAGGGAGAGGGTGCTTGTGAGGGAAGGGTCTTTCCAGAACACAGCAAAGCCATCTGGGTTAATATTCCGCTTTCAATCCTCAAATGAGAGCCTGCCTTTACTGAGGCAGAGTTTGGTTCAAAACCCAGGGCTGTCTGAGGTTCACACACATTTCTTTCACAGGAACACAGAGATTCCCAGTGGAAGTTCTCCCTGAGAGTGACTTGAGCCTCAGTAGTGAAAGGATGACGGCACAGCAAGCATCCAGCTTCTCCCTCGATCCCAGCAGGTTCCTCCAGCAAGGACAGTGCCACTGGCCACAGGGGTCAAGGGAAGAGTCATGCCAAGTTATACTGTTCTAAGAGGCCCGGTGCATGAAATTCGTGCACAGGTAGGGTCCCTAGGCCTGGCCAGCGATCAGGGCCGATCTATGGGGCGACCAGCAGGGTGATGGGGGGGGCCCCCACTTGGCTGGCCTGGGGCCTGCGGGCTGGGGGCAGCTCCTGCATTGAGTGTCTGCTCCCTGGCGGTCAGTGTGCGTCATAGCAACCAGTCGTTCCACCGGTCGTTCCGCTGTTAGGTCTATTTGCATATTAGGCTTTTATTATATAGGATTTGTGACCTGTTGCCACTGTATGTATCTTCAGCTAAAGAGACCAGGCTTTCAACATGCCTTTGCAGTGGCCCCCCACCGGCAAAGCTACAGAAATCAACGTTTGTTTTGTACTTCTCATTGGCCAAGAAACCTCACATGCATTACTTTGCATAGTTCTTGAGACATTATCACCTCTGTTTTTATAGGGAGGAAAAACTTAGAACTCAAGTGACCAGGTCATCGAACCAAGATCATGGAGCATAGGCAGGATGGAACCCACAACCTCATGCCTTCCGAGACCAGCTCTCCCCTCGGGAGGCAGTTTGCCTCTTGATGCCCATTTTGTAAAAATCAAAGGGGATATATTTTTTATTTGTTGCAAAAAATAGCCATGGAACAACAATAAAGAAAGTTAGAAGCAAGAGAAAATGTGTTCCCTTCCCTACCACCCAACATAATAGCCTTTTTTATTTCTCTATGTTCCATTCCAGTTCCTATTCATATACGTAAACTTTTTTTCATGCGGTTCCAGTAACACATAGATACAATGTACATTTGTTTTCCCTTCAACTTATTATATCCTAAGGGCTTTGCATATATACTACCTGCATTTTACCATCCCTGTCTTTAACAGCTACCAAATAACCCATCAGGTGATCACACTAACTATTCTCCATTTGTTGGGCACATGAGTTGCTCTAGGTTTTGCTATGGTAACTAATGCTCCAATGAACATCCTTGTGGGAATGACTCCAGTCCTGCTTGTCTCATGTTTTCTTAGGACCAACTTCCAGGAATGGGATTATCTGTAAAGGGTTATGAGCAAGTTAATGAGCAGATTTAGGAAGTGGAGGGTGGGGGAGGCATTTGGGAGTGGAGTACAAGATTCAAGACCTTTAAGAGAACCTCTGGGTTATTCAGGTGACTGAGGCAGGTATGAGCTTCCGTTTGGAACTCAGGTGAGCGCTCCTGGATAGATAAAACTCATTCCATGTTTTCTTTCTAATTAATTACCCAACAACAAAGATTCTCCGCAAACAGAATAATTGCTATGAGACAGGGTTGGACAATATTTTCTCAGAGTGGCTCAGAGCAAATCTTAAGGGACAGCTTCAGATTGCCTCTATTATAGCCTGCCATTTGGTCAGAGAAGGAAATTAAGCGGATTAGTCAAGCTAGATGCTTTTCTTTACAAAGCCATGGAGGTTATTACTCAAGGCCTTGTTATCTCAAAGGTGTTTGCAAATTGATTTTTGGATAATTTGTTCCAGGTAGAGAAGTTAAGTTGGCAGACAGATAATTTCTGGGCTCATCCTTTGTGCATTTTAAATATAGGGACCCATGATCAACTCTCCCGAGTTTCTATCCATCTCCAGTGAGGCCTCATGGGTGATATCTGCAGCTCTGCGAAGACCCAGCCCAACCCCTTTAATCGAATTACTCACTGATGGACCCTGGACAGAACTCAGAGCAGCCGACTTCAATACTTCAGGGCTGGCACAAGGGGCCACATTAAACTCTCTTCCATCGACTTTCTACTATGGTTTGTGCTCTCCAGTTTCAAGATTAGCAGTAAATTGCTGACCACCAGAAAGAAAATAAAGTATTAATCTTCCCAAATGTTGAGTCTCTTTTCATGTATTTCTGATGGTCGGTGCAAGCATCGTTGCAAACATTCCCTCGAGTATATAAATGTCTCCATCTCCAATGACTTACTGGCTCACAAGTCCCTGTGCAGACGGACTAATGCAGCTATCTCTCCCTCTGTCCTCTCAAGAGAACATCGTAGTGTTTCCTGTCCTGGCACCAGAAAGCAGTCAGATTATTGTGTTATCTATTCTTTTTCTCGTTATTCATTGATTATAATTGGCATTCTTTAGAAGTCACATGTACTAGAGACAGAAGAGACAGAAGCTGGGATAAGACACACAATAAACTTTTTGGTAGACACCACCCTTTCACAAAATGCACAGAAAGATCGTGCTGCTCTCCTCCCTGTCTGTGATGAACTGTTCAACCAGACAGTGCAAGAAGCCTAGGAAGCCATCTAATCCAACCACCGAGAGTCAGAAAGGAAACTGAGGCCCAGAGAGGGCTCAGGGCCTGTAAAGTTAGAAGAAGTGGGGGTGGGACATCATAACTCGGGGCTCAGGTAGCATCCCTGCTCCACCCTTTCTACTCTTGTACTTGAGAGAGATACTTCAGTAATTAACTAGAAGGATCATTAAAGGAACCTGACACCAGTGGTTCTGAAATTAGGGGGATGCATGGAGCCTTGTGAAAATTTGGTAAGAAATTCCAGGCTTCCATCCCAGGACAATGCACATATGCACAATACCTAGAGTTTGCACACCATTTCTGGAACCCACGAACCCTCAGGAAGCCCATGCACAAAGCCCTGAAGAGTCTATGTTGAGAATAAAGGAAGACAGACCACATGCCATAACAGCTTACACGTCTCTGGGACCCCACAGCCACCCTTTGTTGTACGAGCTAGAGGATGGGAGTCCAATCATGTCCGAGGATAGAACTTGATGAAGAGTTCACAGATCTAGTAGTTACAGGCTCTCAGGTTCCCAAACATTTGGGTGAAGATGAACATGCTAAGATTTCCACAGGACAAACTCAAGTAAATGTCTAGCTTTCCATGACCATGGTCCACCAAACGCATTCATAGATTTAATATGTGGTCTAAGATATTTAAAGGATGAAGACAAGCCCCTGCCCATGAAATGTTATATCCTAAGTAGAAATCATCCACAGAGGATGTCTGAGCTGCTTGGGTGGCCATTACACACACCACAGACTGGGCAGATTAAACAACAGACGTTTCTGAAAGCTGGGGAGTCCACGATCAAGGTGCTTGCCAATTCAGTTTGTGGTGAGAACCCTCTTCTGGGTTTGCAGACTGCTGTCTTCTTGCTGTGTCCTCACACAATGGGAAGAAAGAGGTCTCTAGTCTCTTCCTCTTCTCATAATGGCACTAATCACATAATGGGGGCTCCATCCCCCATGACCACATCTAAACCTCACCTTTCTAAGGCACCCCTTCCTAGTACAATCACATGAGGGGTTAGAACATCAACAGATGAATTGGGGGGGGGGCAGGCACAAACATTCGATCCTTAGCAGAGGGCATGTTCTCAAATCCACTCTCTCTTCACAAGGACTTTGTCTAATGGCTGTGGACTTGAGAGGAACAATCTCGCAGAGAGAAAGTCCCTCTGTAAGAAGTCCTACCCAGTACGTACCCTGTGCTTCTCATGGGCCAGAGTGCTGAGTGTAGAATTTAGTGGTGAAAAGAAATACAGGTGGAAAGAAATAGAGGAGTCAGAGGGTAGGGCAGCCAATGAGAGCAGCAATGACAATAAAGTACAATGAGGGTCATGATGGGAGTGACAGAGGTAATTATGGGGCCTGTAAAGGGACCTCGCCTGGTCTAGAGGTTTGGAAAGCTCTTATAGAGAGAGCTTGAGTGTGATCAGTGGGCCCTGAAATTCATGTAAGTTTGTGGGCAAAGAGATTGTCCTGAGAGTCCTGTAGCTGTGATTTGAATGGGGAAGTATACACAGGACTAGAATAGAACAATGAAAACGATGTGTTCTGAACACTGGTTCATTCCTTCATTCGTTCATATACACACACTGGGCACCTGCTATATGGCACACTCTGTCCTGGGCTCTGAGGGTACAACAGTGAACAAAACAGACACAGAGCTGATTGCCAGGAGCTCACATGCTAGCTTCACTGAAGGACTGAAAGACAGAGATGTCAGGAGAGAAAGAAGTTGATTCAGAAGCTGTTGGGTGCTTATGATTCAACCAATTGATGCATATGCATACAACAGAATACTACACAGCAAGGAAAAAGGAACACACTACAGATACACCACATGGATGGACCTCAAAAGAAAATGATGTCCTGTAAAACAAGAAAAGGGAAGGATGCATGATGATTTCATTCATAGGAAAAGTTCAAGAATAGGCAAGTTCATCTATGGCAATAAACACCAGAATCACAGTTACTTATGGGAGCAGGTGATGAGCAAGGTGAGGCAAGAGAGA